AGAAGCATTGCAGTAACTCGTTATGAGTCACTGTTTTAAGGGTTATAAGTGAACTGTCACTGTACACATTGAAAAAGACTGGGAGGTACCCTACTCAGCAATTTCAACCTCTATGTAAAACAACAAAGCATAAAACTGTGTGCATATCAACCATTTTGTTGCATATTGATTCATTTCCTTGCAGAGTTGTGCTGGCAGCAGTAAAGGCCTTCACTACATTAGACAGCCAGCATGACTTTAGCTAATAAATAAACCAGGGAGTGGAACGAAGCAGCATACTCTCGTCTGCACATGCAAATAAGCAGCCACTTTAATTTAAATGTAGAGAGGATCGTGCCCACATTCTGTCAGAAAGCTGAAATAAAAGGCAGATATGGAAGCACAACAGAAGCTTGTGGCAGCTTGAAATAACTTGCATGCCTAACATGCCTGGCTGAAAAGCCCTCTCAGACACAACCAAATAAACATCTGCTATCCAACGCTAGATAACAACAACCAAACAATCTGCTTCTGCACTGCATCCGCTCCATTAAGCCATGTGTTTATGAAAGGTATGAGCAGTAGAGAGGAACAGAGAGCATGCAGGAGAGGAGGGAGGGGGAGCGCTAACACATACGATGCTCATAGCAGTTAGCAGGAAAAGATACTGAGCTGGAATATAAGAGATGATGGAAAGGTGAGATAAGCAAATGCAGACGCCCCCAACACTGAAACACAAACTGAAGGACCAAAGCAGACTCACGGCAGTGGGAGAATCCTAAAACCTGGCCCATGCTCCATCAAGGCATTGCTGGGCCCATCCAGTCATCCAGTCTGGAAGCTCCCCCCTCCTCCTCCTCCTCTGCTGCCGACACTCACGTCCTGTGGACTCTCTCTCTCTCTCTCTCTCTCTCTCTCTCTCTCTCTCTCTCTCTCTCCTCCTCCTCCCTCTGTGTCTCAGTCATCTACTGAGAGGCTTCCTCCCTCTCCTGCCTCTCGCTCAGTCACTCAACAGCCCCGCCCTGCCTCACTCCACCATCCTCCCCTCTACATCTCCTCTTCCATTGCTAAGGCTGCAGCTGTAGTAGTAGTGTACGCTACAGCAAAGGGGGAGAAGGCACGAGTGTCTGTCTGCCTCAGCTTGCTGTCATCTCCCATTCACAGCTACTCTACACCCATCTATCCCCTCTCCCTCTCTCTGTCATCATGTGATCCCATCTCAGGATCTGATCGAATCAGGTTGTCAGAGAATGAAGACATTAATGATGTAAAACATAAACATAAAGCAAAGCATACGCAGAGAAGGAATCATTTCAGGTTGGGTACGATGAGCTGAATCCTCAATTACATCCCATTACTAACATGTAAGGTTCGTCAGCTTTAGTTTGTTTTAGTAATACAGATCAGATTCGGTTTTCTCATATTATAAACACACAACTAAAACCACAGCCATAAAATATGCAGTATATAATATACTGTAGCATAAAAATTCAAGTAAAAGCTTTTAATTAGATTGGAAACAAGGCCTGGGAAACAACGAACACCAGGAGGCAGTGTTGTGCAGCTATAAAAACTGATAGTTTGGTTTGAGCAATGCTGGAAAAAATATGTGCAGTATGACGTCTTCATAATGCTTTTTATTCATGTAAAATTCAGCTTTTGAACTACAACATAGACCCTTCATTTCAGTTCATAAAACTACACTGCTAATGTATCCAAACCGCAGCTCTTTTACTGAGATGTTTGAGTCATTTTTTAATCATTCGTAAAGTAACTAAAAGCAGAAATTTAAAAGGGGAAAATATAGATTTAAACTGGATTTTTGTAATTAAAAAAAGGAAACCAAAAAACTGAATAGAAGTGCAAGCTGAATGACGTCATGGCAGTTACACAGCTGCCACTAGGTCAAAGCTGTGCCTCAACAAAGACAAATATATTTTCCTTTTCATAGTTTATATAAAATTTCACATATTTACTCATAAAAAAGCTAAACGTAAACTTTTTTTAAAACCTAATTTTTAGGTGATCAGTGTTGTGTAACAGCTTAAATGGGTTTTATCTGAGAATAGACCAAATTACTTAGGCCATATATTGTATTCACATGACAGATTGATGTCCAAATGTTTGAGAGATGTCAAAAACAATTTATGTTTTCTTGAATGATTTCCATAACTGGGGTGGAAAACTGACGGACTGCTTTAAACACGAAATGATTTGAGAGACAACAGCACATTACACATGCAGCTGAAACAGCCATTATTATCCACTGTTAGCATCACATGTAATTGAACAGTTCTACATTTATTTTTGTTAAAAACAAACAGTCGCATCCTGAGTTATACACCTGGCAGTTTCCATGATCAGACAAACACAAGGACCAGTGTCAGTTTATAAAAGGTTTAGTGGTACTTTTAGGTTGATGACAACAAAGATGCACACATATAGACCTTAACGCTCTTAACCTCTAAACCAGGTCAGAAATCCCAAATACACAAACTAATTAGATTAAGACGCAGAGGTGTCATCTGACACACAATCAGTAGGTTACAAGTTCGAGGGCCAGTTTACTGCATATCATCTGTCTCTTCATGTGAACAAGTTCCACTTTTACTTTAGCTTATTTATATCCTCCATTTTAGCCTTAAACAGCATATCTTTCTGTTTCATATGAACATTAAAGCACTTCTTTTAGATTTCTGTCATACATCAGAGATGATGGTACACAGTCAAAAGGAGCTGGTACCATTTACCATTCTCAACGTTTAAGGCAGAATGGTGGCCAGTGCTTCAAAAGTTTCAAAAGTCCAGTGTGAACAAATAGAATTCAACTTCACAGTGAATATAACTCATGATTAACTCACTGGGGGTCAATATCTGAACATACAGCTCTGTCCAAAAGTCTTGGGCCAACACACACTTTGTTAAAATTTCGCTAGGAAATGGGAAATGTGCGATGACTTATTAAAGCATGTGCAAAAATACACGGAAGTAAAGTATATAAAGCAAATACTGATTTTGTAGAAATTTAATGAGCGTGAAAGTCGCTATTTGTTATGATCGCCTTTATTGCGCTTGAACAGCTTGAACTCTCTTAGGCAAGCGGTCTTCAAGTAGTCTCAAGAAATAATTTTCCAGGACATTCAAAGCTCTTCTTTAGTCAGTTGTTCCATTCTCTGGCAAGTTCAAGCTTGGGAACCGGTGAAAGCCCATGCACGACTGCTAATGTTCTACTGTGTGCTTTTCTATCCTGGTATGCTTTTGTTGCATGGGTAATATGTTGCTATCCTGAAAGATTACGCCACTGCCCAGCTAACACTTTCCAGAGAGGAATGCATGTTGAATTAAAAATATGATGATACTTTTCTCCAACACCACTGGCTGAACAGACCCTGCACCATGCTTTACAGATGACTGAAACAAAAATGTTGATAAGCAACAATTTATTTTACTTTTGAAATAAAAATGTCATATTCATCACTCTAAAACACCTGTTGTCACATATTTTCATTCCAGTTCTTGTGTCAAGTGACATACTTCAGCCTTTCTTCCCATTTCTCTTGCTTAAGAATAACTTCTTGACAGCCTCTCTTTCACTAAGGACCAAATTTATTTGTCAGGTATTTGCTGGGTTTATACCCATTTCGTAAGGATATGACTTTCAAATACTGTTTAATCTCTTTAGATAATTTTTTAAGGTCTGCTACTTTTTTTTTACAGGGTTTTTTTTTCAATTTTAAGGCCACACTGCACACCATGATGAGACATTAAGTTTTTAGCTATTATGGATCTAATTTGGAATCACCTTGTTGACATGGTAAATTGCCTGTCAAACTGTGTTATCTTTGGGAATTTTTTAAATACATTTAACAAAAGAAAAGAGGAGAAATGATGTATTTATAGGCTGCTAGTAGCAAATTGCCTCAAACTACAATTTTACAATGGTTCTAAGTTGTCTGTTTCATCCCTGGTAAGATACCTTGTTTACACTTGAATGACTTATAGCCCATTTAAGTGGGTTGACAAACATTCCTCTGAATTCCTCTGAAAATGGCCAAGTATAAGGGCTGAGCTGAAAAACTGTGAAAAGCAGCCCGAAGAAATGACCTTCAAGCCTGGAGAACTACTTCTCAAGACCACTTCATGTCCACAAAGTCTGGGTCCTTGGAAGCAAAATATAAGGGTATGAAGGGTGGCTCCAGACTTCAGCACATTGATATTTGCCAGTGATTTTGTTTTGTTGCAGTTGTGATCATTTTTAAATCCACCAATTTGCCTCCTGACATTTTAAAAGAAATAACTGCATGCAAAAATAAGTTCTACTTAAGTTTTATTTGACCTTAAACAGAGATAAGTGGTTGCAGAAAACCTTACGAAAAATGAAAATATCTCATTTTTATTTACAGCGCTCATCTCAAAGTCTGCTACGTGGCTTTTTGAGCTCTCAGTGATTTCCCTTGTTTAACAGGAGAGCTCACTGGTCTTTATGATGAGGCACGTTGAACCTAGTGCGATATATATTTTTATCACTTGAAATTAACTTGTGTTTCATTTACACAATTAGATTATCAAATAAAATGTGCTAGCTAGATTATGACGTATACAGATGACTAAGATGATTTTTTTCCAATAATCACATTTCAAGAAAATTAAGAACATTTATAGACTGACTTATGGACAACACTGGTAACCTCACAGGGTATTGTGATGATCCCTAAACAAATAAACAATAGGATTCATGAGTCACTCAAAAATTCTCTCTAAAGATCGTCAGAGATGTTAATCTCCCACAGGCGTGCAAGACTGATCATGGGCTCTGTCAGTGTTTTGCTAAATGTCCCAGTTATAATCCATGCATGTGTGCAGACACAGGACTCTTGTGCTGGCATGCTGGCCATGTGATAATCCAGCATTACCTACAGAGCCAGTACTACACAGAGGTAGAGGAAGAAGGACAGGGAGTGGGTGGGGCCAATTAAGGAGATAAATCCATGGAAATAGATGAGCCAATAGAAGTGCCAGGTTGATAAAGTGAGAAGAAAAGAAGAGAGAGAGGGAGACAAAAAACACAAAACAAAAAACCCCACAGACAGTGAGAACCAGGTCTTGACGAGGGAGGATTCTCTACAAGAAAGTCGCAGGATTTTAAAAAAATATGCCCCTGGTGTTTTTAAATAGAAAACTAACGCAGTGTTTCATTTAACCGGATTTCACTGTAAAAACAATTTTAGTTTACCTGCTTCCCCTGCTTTGGGGGGAAAAGGGTTATAACCTACCTGTTGCACTGGACCTGTTGAGAAAAACACAGGGGCGGAGGAGGGGCACCCGGAGGAGACGAGGTGCCACCAAGTCGAGCAGGAAGCTTGAGCACAGACTCCGT